GTTTTTTATAGTGAAATTAAAAATTTCCTTCTCTATTTCTCCAACAGACCAATTGAGCTTCGCTTTGCTGTGATGGTTGCACGTATCTAAATAATAAAATCCGCTTAATTGCACTGTAGTTTTTCTGATTAAAAAATGACTATGGTTTCGTTTCTTGTTTCTTGTTTCTATACACTATTAATGTCGATGTTTTTAAAAATAAGACTTTCGATTACTGTAGGGGGTTTAATAATAAGAACCATTTATGATTAAAATCCATTACTTTTAAATTATATATTAATGTCGATGTTTTATTCAAAAAAGAGCTATCTGTTTGATTTTTTTTATTCAAACACGTGTTGTGTCTAGGTGCTCGAAGTTGTGGATAAAATGTCCGAAACTCATATTTTGTTATTTTTGTTGAAGTACTTTCGATTTTCACCATCATTATAAAAAAAACCGGTGTGGTGTCAGTGTGGTAGTTAGAATTCATTTGTCTGCATCATTGTATTCTTTGGGAAGCTGGACGTTTGAAATAGTCTAGTGTAACATCATGTATAACGGCTATCGGGAATACGTCGCACAAATGTATGCTTGTTCAATTTTTTTATTTTTTTTTTTTACAGCAAGGTTTACCCCATACAAGGCCCGGGGGTCATTCGACGTAGAGAGTTACGTTTCCTACCTATTGTAATGAAGGCCCAATCAAGTGTCCTCCGCCTGGTTATATATATATATATATATATATATATATATATATATATATATGCATGTATATTGTCATCCACAGGCAGACTGTTTCGTTGTTTCACAGCTAATCTTGGCTAGATATCTGATTGCTTCAGCCCAAGATCAAAACCCAACTGATTTTGTATCAGTCGGAGATTTTACTCCAAAATCATTGGTGCACTGCAGGGATGAAGGCGAATTTAGACATATTTATTTTTAAATGAACCCGCCAGTGACCAGACAACTCGATTCATCTTAACGAAGAGTCTTGTATCAGCAGCAGTAATAGTCACTCTTTACACTTTTCTCCACAGAGAGGTCAACTGAAATGATTTTTCACAAAATATTTTTTAAACAAAATAACAATAAAATAAGTAAAATAAATTAACCCAAATTACCAAATCACACCCGTTAGGATAGACGAAATAGAATAAATAAATAAAAAAAATAAAAAACAAAATCAATGAACCCAAATAAATAAAGTAAATAATAAACAAAGTAACAAACCATTATGACCAAAATATTAGTTAGACTATGAAAGTCAAACCAAAAATCGGACGAAAAACATAGCTATAACTGTTATATAACGATAAAAAATACTACGTTACTTAAAAATCGAAAACCGAAAACACTAAATAAAAATATATAGTATAATAAATAAATATTAAAAACCAAGTAAAATAAATTAATCTAAATTAAACCAAATAAATAAATAAAAAATAAACTAACAAACCGATCCCAATAAATTAACCATTCGAAAAAAAAACAAGATAATCTATCCAAATAAATAAATGAAGTAATAAACAAATTAAAAACTGCTCCCGCCAAAATAATAGTTAGAATGAACTACAACAATCAACTCCAAAATTGAATAAATAGCTTTAATTATCTTCCCAAACCAAAACAAAACTATTAAATAAGCGATATAAACAAATTTTACTATGTTAAAAATAAAATTAAATAAATAAATATATAAGATAAGAAATAAAGCAAAATAATTTAACCCAAATAAATGAATAAACAAATAAACCCCTTCCTGCAAAATAACCGCCAAAATAGACTACCCACAATGCACCACTGATCCGTATATATAAATAGCCGAGAAAAATAAACAACACTCATGACCTGACGATTACGTCTAACATGAAACAGCCTGTCGTCTCGTGTTGACTTCAATGTTCAACTTTATTTCTGATATTGACTACTTTATCCCATAAATGTAGCACACCTTAAGAGTATATTTCTTCATATATATATATATATATATATATATATATATATATATATATATATATATATATATATATATATATGGGGGGGTGGTGAACAGGGATATCCGATGTTTCCAGAAGCAAATAATTTAAATACAACACGGGAAAATGTTCCCCGGTGTATTTTTTCTTACAAGATACAACACATAAAAAAGTTATTTACATAACTTGAACATAAAAAGTAGAGTTTACAGAAAAACATTCTGTTGCAAAAATCAAACCAATTGATGCATTTCATTTTACGGAATTTCAGAGAACACAACATTGGTACTTTCAAGTGCCAAGATGAACATATGGTTGCAGATTCTACTCTTAAACAACAATGTTGGTTCTCTCTTTATGCGCCGTGTCCCTTCAGGACGTAGGCGATAATGGCTCTCTATAACTTCCTGTCCATTGTAGACCTTAATAAACTTTGTCTTTCTGTTATTTCTCCTAAACCCTGTTCCATCATGTATTTACTAAATCTCATTAATTATGCGCTGTCTTTCTATGCCACGCTTGCTCTCAATCTGTCTCGTGAGTATCAGATTTTACAAGTCCCCCTTCCCCATTATAGGCTTTAGAAACCTGTTGTAACTTAGAAAAGGTTACTGAATGAGGAATAACCAAAACGGAGGTTGGAAATGA